ACATACTCAGTATCCCCAAAACCCCAAAACCCCCATTAAACAAATTTAAATTGAAGGTGATGAAATCAAATAAATTATTCTTACTTAACTTAAAAAAGATTCAAATCATTATTCTTGCTGCTATGTTTCTGATAAACTTTGATTTTCATCCCCTAGAATTCTAATCATACTAGCTTTTTAAGAGAGAATCACAAGTTTCTAAATTTTATCTGGATCTAAATCAGATTCGCTATTATCTAGCAATTGGTTATCAATGAAAACATCATCCCTTCTAGCTTTAAGTAATAAGTTACTTTCTGTCTCACTTTCTCTGTCTGATTCTATCTATTACTATTCACTTTGTAAATTTTATATGGTCAATTAAACTAACTCCTATTATATTTGCTCAGTTTATTAAGGGACTTAAACTTGTGGCTGAATCATTTCATTTTTCTTAATTTATTAATGCTATTGCTATTGAATTGGTGATGGTAATTATACCCTACTTTTGTTGAATTATGAACTATTAAAGCTTTTTTGAAGATGATGATTTTATGCATCTTAATCAATAATGATTGATCTACTTTGGCTGCTGTTTACATTTGAAAGTAACTTATTTTAAAATTTTACTTTGTCCTTTTTCCTTTCAATTGGTGAATGGGCTGCTGAACTTCGTCCACTATTGTTTTGACTATCAGAGTGCTTTGATTCTTTTTTTATTAATTCAATTATCTTTGATTAAAGTTATTAACTAGGAGGGTTACTGTTTGCATTAGCATTTGCAAATGACCCTTGAATTGCTTGATTTTAATTACTAATATGGGCTGGTGACTTAGTCTCAAACTTTTAAATATTTGTTACTTCAATACCTGATTTATGAGTTTGAATTTTTATTTTTGCTTAAAGATTTGATATAACCTAGTTTTATTGAGGTTTATTAGGAGTTTGATTAACTTTCAACTTGATTTAATTTGGATTTAAGTTATTTTTAAGAGATTCTCCACCTTTAGTTCCCTAATTTTGAGGACCTGGATTTGACCTTTGGAATCTAAGATTCGATAACTTATCTAATGAAACCTTTTCTTGATCAGCTGGTGCACCTTTTTTCTTGCTCTTTTTCAATTGCTCCTATTTCTCTAATTAGATTCTTTCTTGTTCTAGTAACTACATCTTTTTAAACCTTTTCCAGTAATATGCAATTGTAATTTGTGCGTCTGAGTATAATTTTTCTTTTATTTGATTGAAATAATTGTAACTTATGTCTATCTTTTCCTATACCATTTGCTTTATAATTATTTTTCTAGCTCTGTATCCTCTTAGATATTTTTGAATAACTATCGCCTGCATATTGCGCCTTCTTCCTTTTAAATAAGGTATAAGTCTTATCCATTTAGATGATTTCCATTTTCTTTGTATCTTTAATGCAGCTTATACCCTTTGTCTATATCCATTTATGAATATTTGTCTTATTTTGAATCTCTTAAAAAACCTCTATATTCTGTATGCAGCCTAGTCTTAGATAACATTTTCTTTACGCTTTTACAAAATGAATAATAGCTTTTAATTGTTGATAACGTTGAGCTTTATTTGCTACAACTCTCTTGGCGACAATTATACGCCAAATTAGCTTTGGTATTCATCAATCAATTGATATTTTTTGTCTAGCTCCCTCGTAGTTTCTTGCAATTTTAATGCCTTCTGCTTCATTCTTTCAATTGAAATCTTTAGTCTTTCTTTTCTAAGAGTAGTAGTCTATATAGTATGATCAGTTGTCATCTCCTTTAAGTTAAAGCGCATTCTTTTGTCTTACTATAAAAAATCGTTAAGTTCATAGTCTCTGCGTAAAGAGTCATCTTTTAACAGAGAAGTTCTGGGACTGTTCTAATATGTTTGATTAAAAGAGCCATCCAAAGTGGTTTTGATTGTAGTATAGTTTGTTGATCTCTAGTTTATTCTCTTTAATAATTTTGCTTTGTTTGGTTACATCATGATACCATTATATTGATCGTATTAATCCCTGTAAATTTGCTGTGAAACATTATTTAAGATCGTATTAGTAAAGGAAAAGTTTCTTCTATGTCTGCTAGTATATGAGTTTATGTCTTATTTCTAATTATTTAGAGTCTATCTGAAAAGCCTCTCTTCATTTGTATTGTTAATATAACCTTTTGGAGACAAATTTCTACTTTATTTCAAATTGCTTAGATTATTTATGCTAGCATTTTCTATTTTCGGTAGCTTTACAGGGCTTTGAATTGATTGCTATCTTTTATATAGAGAAGGTAAAGTTTGATTCACTAATATATCCTTGTTAACTCCTTCTTTAATTGTTTACTAGAGTTGAAATAGTTGCTTTGTGTCGTCTTTAAATCTCTAAAAGGTTGACATTAAATTTTTCTATTTATCAATAGCTTTAAATATTCTGTAATTTTGGTTGATCTTTTATCAAGGGGTTTTGGGGTTTTGGGGTTTTGGGG